AAAAAAAAAAAAAAAAAAAAAAAACACCAAATACAAATAAAAACCTACAATCCAGCTAAGTCACTGGGCGGCCTCTCCTTGAGACATCAACTCATGTCTATGCCAGAGCAGCAAAATAGCCTGGGTGATGTTTTCAAGATTTTCATATAAAAAATTACTCCTGACTTCATAAAAATCAGACTGTGTCTACAGTGTCCACATTTCTCCTAACTTCAGTTGGGGCTGAGCAGCCATGCCTGAGATGGAACATGCTTCACCAAGGCAGCTCTATATGTCATTGCCACTGCCAGCCTCGAATTTGGGATCCCTGCTCTGACTGCTGATGTCTGTCACTCTTTCAATTTACAAGGCTCATGGCCTAACTACACTCATCCTAATGGTTTACTGCCTCCCAGTATCCTCTTGCGTTCAGCATTAGAACTTCCAATCATTTTAGTATTTTTTTCCCCAAATCATAAACACATCTAAATCACCGTTAACATAATGGTAACACTTAGTATTTCTCTTTAACATGTTCCCACCAGCTTGAACCACCACCAATGGTACATGCCCAACTCCATGCCACCTGCTGGGATGGGATAGTCAAGCATACACAGTACCAGTGGTGGTTCCGAGCTGCCAGCAGCCATAATTTCAGCCTCATTGTGAACGTGTTAAAGGAACTGCACAATGAAAAGTCTTAAGCAGCCCTTCTTGATTTACCAAGGAGTTACATACCCATTTTCTGCTTTCCTTTTTAAACTATCTTGTTCTTTTAGGAGAGTTTGATGTTCATCATAAGCATTCAGAAGCCTGGGGAGAAAAAAAAAATCCTCTGGAATAAACAAAAACCAAATTTTAAAAAAGATTTTAAGTTGTTTCTATTCAGAGAAACAATGTGTAAAATTTCTAAGCAGCTCGTTTTTGTCACTTTTTTTAAGTTTCAACTACAATAATCTTAGTTCTGCTACTCAGACTCTCCATACCTGTAACTGCAAGGACTTTAATGACACCTTTGTGTTACACTTCCAATTTGTCTACACTTCCAATTTGTCTGCCTATTACTTCCAATCAAACTATGTAATTTAATTTTGATGGCCCAAATTCCAACATTCAACTACCGTTAATGACCTACTACATGTGCTCTGAATTTTCAAAGCATAGTAATCAAGATAATACTCGCAGGATAGGAATGTAGGTTAATGGTAGAGTACTTCCCTAGAAGCATGAACAGCAACAAAAAAATTGTTAGTCACATTTCCACTACCTCGAAAAACCCTCCAAGCAAATGTAACTTATATGGACTTTAGTCTTCCATTACTGTGTCCTCTCAGTTTATCAGAATCCAGCAGTCACTAAATGAGGCCCCACCTCCACTTTGTTTTGTTTTGGGTTTTGTATTTTTGGTACCCAGGATCAAAACTTAGAACCCTGTGTTTACAAGGCAGGTGGCAGCACCAGTGAGCTAAATCCCTGGCCCTCCACCTCCACTTTGAAACATGACAAATCTAACTAAACCCAGCACAGTAGAGCACACCCATGATCCTACACTGGCAAGCTGAGGCAGGAGGATTTAAAATGGAGCCCAAATGGGCAAGACTCTGTTTACAATAAAAGGTTTTTTAAGTGTTGGATGTGCAGCTCAGTACTAAGGCCCTGGGTTCAATCCCCAGGACTATAAAGAGAAAAACAGGACAAATCTATTCACTTCTTAACATACACACATTTATATTACTTTCCTTGAGACTACCATCCAACTAAAAGGTAAATTATGGATCTCAGTTCTTCTGTATGCCTCTTAAGTACCAAATACACAAGACATTAAATACACAGCATATGAGGTAGTTTAGGAGTAGACCCTTTGGGCTGGGGACGTAGCTCAGCAGAGCTGTGCCTGCCTGGCAAGCACGAAGTCCTGAGCTTGATCCCTTGTACTGAAACAAACAAAAACAGCAGAGGCTTTTCAGTAGGTTCACATGCCCAGTCCCACAAATTGTCTAAACTCTTTTTACAGACTTCTTTTCAACTATTAAAAGAACAGAACCTCTACTTACTATACTGCTATAAATTTTTCATTAGGAGATTATAAAATCGAATGATACCAAGAATTTAAATCTTGGTTCTTATATCAGTTTAAATGAAATTTTACACTCATCAAAAATATATACACGGAAGCAAAAGAAATTTTCAGTTGCAATGGAAATCATTCCCAATTATAGCAACATACCAAACAGGCTCTGGGGATATTTCCTTACTATAGTAAGACTGGCACTTTAATACAATAGCCAGAATTTCTACTCACCTGCTTATTGGCAAATTTAAATTCTTAAATTTGTTCTCCCAATCTAGAGCAAATCCTGCTATCACCTTCATTGTTCAGCCTTTTAACAATGAAGAAAAATGAGGCCAATTAA